GAGTCAATTTGATAGTGCCAGAGGCTGCCCCACTTTAATATGCATACATACCTCTTGCTTGAGCATTTTATTTTAAACCTTTATATCTTGCTTGCTCTCTACAGAGTTCTAGGAAGCTGACTCTCATCAATCAAATTTTAATAAATTGTTGGAAAGCCTTGATTGAAATTATTGGTAGAGCAGCCAAACCACACTCCTATAGGTGTGGGTGGGGCCACAGATAGGCAGCAGCTCCAAAGGCATGGCATAGTCCTGTTTAGTTGTACCTCTGTTGTGCATTGTGACATCTTTTTCACCCCAACAAAACCATGACTGCACTATCTGCAATATAGGCTCCATGCACATGAAAGAGAGATAAATAGATACAATTCCTATTGATATTGATATTGATTGGTTCCTAATATGATTTGATTGCTTATTTGTACCCTATGACTATCATTAAGTGTTGTACCTTATGATTCTTGACGAATGTATCTTTTTATGTACACTGAGAGCATATGCACCAAAGACAAATTCCTTGTGTGTCCACTTGGCCAATATTCTATTCTATTCTATTCTATTCTATTCTATTCTATTCTATTCTATCTATTCTAATTCTATTCTATTCTATTCTATTCTATTCTATTCTATTCTATTCTATCGCACAAGAGCTCTGCCTACTCCAGAGTTAATTGCATGAGAAAAGCATTGCAATCACACCAAGCAGATCAGGAGAAAGCTAGGAACTGCCCTTAGATGGGAGGTTGTTTGCACAGAAACGACTATAAAACATTCACCTTTCAAATAATTGAGTAACTTTGAAGCACATGATCTTTAGAAGGTTCGTGGACTGCAAAGAGACCTAGAATTATCCTTGTTCTTCAGGCTCAGCAGCACTTTTAAGACAAGCCAATTCTACACACACTTTTCTTGTCAGGAGCTCAATTTCAAGAATTGTTTATTTGGGGACAACTAGAATAGAGGTGACTCTTTTCCCCCGCAGTGTTAATTTCATGCATTAAATTTCTTCACAGCTGTGTTCCTTGAAGTCCTAGTTGTATACATTTATTGTTTCAAGCACAAAACAATACTTTCACAGGGAGGGTAATACTGAGCAAGAATATTTGCAATTGCCTGGTTTTGGACTACACTCTGCTGGCTTCTTGCCTAATATGTCCACACAGAAGATATATTATAAAATCAACATTGTATTTGATAGAACTTATATTGGAATCTCATATTGCCAATCTGCTGCATTGTACATTAACCATTTTTATACACATATAAATAAACAGAAGAGTCTCACATAAAAGCACTCCAATCCATAAAAATATGCTCTCGTCGCTACAAACAGCTCTTTCCATATCCTGACTATCCAATAGCTGATGATTAAAGTTCTAATAGAAGAGAATATTTATAACTCAGGGTTGAACTGTGGGGTTCTTGGAGCTCTCTGAACTTTGTTGTTTTCTTATAAATGTTTCATTACCCCAACTAGGTAACTTCTTCAGATGCTGGATATTATTCAGATGCTACAGTAAACAGTTATCAAACTACTCCAATTTAATAGCAATAGCACTTAGACTTCTATACCTCATCACAATGCTTTACAGCCCTCTCTAAGTGGTTTACAGAGTCAGCATATTGCCCCCAACAATTTGGGTCCTCATTTTACCCACCTCAGAAGGATGGAAGGCTGAGTCAACCTTGAGCTTGGTGAGATTTGAACTGCCAAAATTCAGGCAGCTGGCAGGCAGCAGAAGTAGCCTGTAGTACTGCACTCTAACCACTGCGCCACCGTGGCTCATAATGCCCTTTAGATGAGTTGGGCATCTCCCTGTAGACTACCCGTATAACATACTGCATGATTCTAATTGTTTTAACAAATTACCTCCTCATAGCTATATGCACATAACACAATTCCAATTTGTGAGTTCAACATTGCAAAGAGAAAATGATCCCAATATTCTCTGGTTCAGATCTCAATAGAACTCAATTCCTGGCCTGTAGCCTAAAGATGATAAGACGTGTACCCTTTATTCAGAGTAAATCCAACCTGATCTTAATGACACTTGGGGAGATGGTCCACTGAATAGCCAAGCACTGGCTGTTAATGTTATACCTACTGGATAATAATGTATTCTACCTACGGGTTAATAAATATGCCAGTCTGGCTTCTTTAAAAAAAAGCAGGTATTCACTTTGCCACTCTATCAATTATTTTGTGTAGCACCAGCTTAATGTGGAGTAGAGATCGGCTTGGAATGGAATGGGAATTTCTATCCCCATCTGATACCTAGATCTGAAGATAGACTGGAGATTTTTATTATGTACTATCTAACCCGCTATTTCACAATCACAATTATTGGCACAAATGATAGAAGTGAACCTAAGCAGGATTTAAAGGACCTCTCTTTGATATCTTGCTATTATCTATTGGATGTCAATCAATATTTTATAGTGGATATCACATGTGGACCAGGGGTGGTATTTACTTACCTTCGCTACTGGTTCGCAAATGTAAATGCACGTGGGTGCGCTATGCATGCACCTCCTCCACACATGCGCAGAGGGTCAAAAACGGGGCATGATGATGTCCAGGCGGGTTGGCGGAGCCTCCCACCGCCAGGGCTATCGGATCGCGCGATCCCGATAGATTTGGCTGAATTTCACCATTTCACCACTGATGTGGACTCATCTCATATAATGTCTTGAGTAGCACTTACAATAGGGCTACGTTGGATCTAGTGTTTTTATACCTACTTGGTCAAATTGGAAATTGTGGCTACTTAAAATCTCTGGAATGGAGAACAGAAAGACTGACTTCTGAGAATGGTGGATCTAATACTTCTTTGCAGTCTCTTGGGGATTTTCCCTCAAAGCCTTCACTTAGGTTCTGATTGGAATGAAGGGATGATGGTCTGGAATGTGAAGTTTATTGTGCATTTTTCCAGTAATCACATACTTATTCCAACTTAGAAGCATTATGTTTGGACAGAATCTAAAATGAAAGAAACTACACTACAAACTTGCTAATGTTGCTATGGTTACTCATCAGCTTCAACAGCCAAAGCACACAAAAGCTTTGGAATTCATTTCATCGCTTGTCCTTGTCCACCCTGGCTTCTCAAATCTGCCAATGCTAGGTTTGAAATATAGTTCCTCTTAGAAGACACATGCAAAAATCAGTCAGTGATCATAAATTAATAAAGAAACCAAATTTATATTCAATCCCTGTTTGGATTCTAATTTTCCATTGAGGAGTAAATTACTGAAACATAATAGTGGCCTCCACTTTTAAGCAGTATTGAAGATTCTGATCATTTAGATCTATTTGCATCTGGTTTGCATTTGGCAGATGGAAGCAGCTTTGATCTCTCTGGAAAATTATTTATGTAGAATAAATCATGCCACTCTGCTACATTTCCTGAACTTCTCAGGCATTTTCAATCTAATCAACCACAATGTCCTTCTGAACAATTATCTGGTTGAATTTGGAAGGCACAGTATAGAGTACAGCAATAGCACTTACACTTATATACTACTTTATAGTGATTTACAGCACTCTCTAAGCAGTTTACAAAGTCAGCATATCGCCCCCAACAATCTGGGTCTTCATTTTACTGATCTTGGAAGGATGGAAGGCTGAGGCAATCTTGAGCCAGTTAGGATCGAACGCCTGACAGTGGGCAGAGTCAGTTTGTAGTACTGCATTCTAACTACCACCATGGTGCCACAGAATATATATAGGAAACAATTTTAACTGGAGAAAAGTGGCAAGAAGTCTCAATCCAACAAAATGCAATGTAATCATCATCATCATTTAATTATAGGAGCTCTAGCCATAATTTACATTATGAGCTGTGGTGGCGCAGTGGTTAGAGTACAGTACTGCAGGATACTTCTGCTGACTGCTGGCTGCCTGCAATTTGGCAGTTCAAATCTCACCAGGCTCAAGGTTGACTCAGGCTTCCATCCTTCTGAGGTAAAGTGGGGTTCAAGGTTGACGCAGCCTTCCATCCTTCTGAGGTGGGTAAAATGAGGACCCAGATTGTTGGGGGCAATATACTGACTCTGTAAACCACTTAGAGAAGGCTGTAAAGTACTGTAAAGTGGTATGTAAGTCTAAGTGCTATTGCTATTGCTACTTAACTGTATAATCCCACTCAAATATTACTAACAGAGCACATACAGTTGTCTATATAAAGCATTTCATTAAAAAAAAATCAAATTTCAAGTTTCTTAAACTCTTTAATCAGATACTGTCATAATTTTGAACAGAAACTTCTTTCAGGGAGGTTGCTCTGTCTTGGAGCCCTTCAAGAGATACTGCAGCCATGGGTGATGACACCAAGGAACTCATTTTCATAAGAGGAACTTAAGCCCCTCTTACAAAGAAACGAAAAGATCTCAACATATTGTCCAATTTATTTGCAGCTAATTGCCTCATCCCTACCCTAGAGCATCCCCACATGTCAATGAGTGAAAAGCCAGGCTAGTCCAGAGACATCTGAATTCTACCTTGATCAGACAAATCAAAAGATGTCTTATTTTCTTATTCATCAAAATCAAAGGAAGACACAGAGAGGCGTAGAAATGCAAAAAACACGGATCCATTAAGCAAGAATATGCATGATTGGGCTTCCCAGTGGAAGAAACTGTGAAGAGGAAGTGCATCTACAGATTAGTCATTCTTGTAGGCAATTTTCCCAATATAAATTGCCTCCCTAAAGCTGCCATTAACCTTCTAGGGGCCACATCAATCATTACTGTCCAAATACCAATATTCCTTTGGCCTTTTCTTTTATGCCGAAACTTAAGGAAGGAGAACGGGACTGAAAAACCAAGCAGCATATTTTCCAGTTTCACAAAAATGAAGCAGATGACTTAAAATATAGAGGATTAGCTCAGATCGTCAGTTCAGTTGAATACATGCAAAAGAATTATGAAATTCTGTATAAAAGTACAAACCCTGAAATCTATTGCTGGTGCAAATGGTATAAAAATATGGATACTGCAACTACAGTATACATTTATTTATTCAGCTATTGCAATTTAAATATAAAAGAGGGGACTTTCCATGAAGCCAAAAGTTACAAGCCTGGAAATCATTTCCAACAATCTACAGCTTCCATGTTTACAGCAGGTATTAAAAGTTCCAAGCATAGCTTGGCAGCAGCCATAAAATCTAAAAACTTGCTTTTTGAAATATAAGGGAAGGAGATTCTTGGGAAGCTGAGTTCTGTGATCGGCATCACATCCGTGCTTTATCTCTGTTCATACAGAAACCATCCTGTGCTAATTATGAGAAATGTTGCCAAAATTCCCTAAGCTCAGGCTTTGATACAAGATTTAGGAGATTATAAAAGTCCGAGGATGGACATAGAACAGAAAGATTAGATTGCTTTTGCTCCTCTTTGACTGTCTCCAGCTTTGCTGCAGCTGTCTTAGGCAGATAAGCTTTGTCGAAATGGAAGAAGTGATAAACTCAGAAAGAGAACTTGGTGAGCAATAGGTGAACATTAGCTCAACTTGAAATATTTTAATTTTCAGAGGAAACTGCTTTATGCACCTTGAGGGTGATCCAAATTGAGCACTGACAAGGTTATCTATCTGTATTCATCAGACTCTGCCTTCAGGTCAAAAGCTTACAATCCTGGGTCTCTCTTACAGTGATTCTTCTTTAAACCCTGCTATTCAATGTACTTTGAAATATAAAATATTAGGAGTGAGAGGTAGAGCTTCAGACATTGGAAGAATGTTGAAAAGTCCACGCAGCAGATTCCATCTTATTCCCTGAATTTCAGTAAATGAGGACTACAGTAGTGATAAAATCAATGTTGGTGGCATTAAATGAAAGTCAGATGAACAAGAAGCTGTGAACTGAAGGACAAATGCACGTGTCCCGTTGACGAACCCTCTTCCAGGTCCCTCTACATCTCGGATTCCCCACAGCCTGCCAGTACAGTAGCTGGTTCCTGTAAAACAAAACGAAGCATGCCATGAAGTGGTATTTCCATTTCTAAAAGGACAGAAGGATAAAAGGGCCATGAATACCTGAGAGCAACTGCCAACAAGAGCAGAAATTAGTAGGATTGATCTCAAAGGTGTTTTTTCAAGAGGCAACTGGACTTTCTGATGTTTCTTTGAAGATGTTTCACTTTTCATCCAAGTGTTTCTCTTCAGAGCTGAAGAAGCTTCTAGCAAAATGTCTTCAAAGAAAAAACAGAAAGTCCGGTTGCCTCTTGAAAAAGCACCTTTGGGACAACCGTGACCTGGATGACTGAGAATCTCCATAGATACTTAGCAGGTTTGATGTTTGTCAACCTTGGCAACTTTAAGATGGGTGGACTTCAGCTCCCAGAATTCCCCCATCAGCACAGCTAGCTGGGGAATTCTGGGAGTTGAAGTCCACTCATCTTAGAGTTGCCAAGGATGAGAAAACACTGGTGTACATGACTGTCTTTTCTTGAGTTAAGGATTCTGAATCAGATCCTTTATATTCCTAATAACATGATAGAACCTTTTATGATCCAATTGCAGAAACATATGATGAAGAAATCTTGGCTGCAAAACTAATTTTTCTTTGACCCTACTTTATCAAGGTAGTATGTGCAGATTGGCTTTTAATCTGTCGCAAATCTGGACAGCGATGGTGGCAGGTTATTCCTAGACAAGCATTTCCTTCCTTCCTTCTTTCCCCAGCTTTATGCACATGATCATCTGTTGCAAACCTGCATTCCATAACTCCCATGTCTTCCTGCAATTCCTAAGGAACAAGCTAATCTTTGCAAGCAAGAGACACTGGCTTTTCTAACACATGCTTTTTGCAAATGTCAGTAGTGCTTAATCAGGCCTGAACCTTCCAGTAGCATTTCATTAAAAAAAAACAAAAAACTCTAAATTTTACTCCCTCATTTTAAAGGCTGTCTGTTTAAGTACCCAAAGATGTACAGTGTACAAATTGACTGCAGCTTTTAGAATTTATTTCTTAAGCCCATATGTACTGAATAAATTGATAAGGCACAACATGAACTTAGAGTCAATTTGTCCAAGGTACTAAAAATGTGAAGTATCTGTGTGATGCTGAAGGGGTATTTATTTCTGTAAACCATGGGTTTTTCCAGGCTGCTTTCTGGCTCCAGTCCTATTCCCATTCATCACCTAAATTTGCCATTAAAAAGGAAGAGGAAATCTCACAGCCATCCTACCCTTTCACATAATTCTTTGAATAGATGAATGATCTTCAGAGTGTATTCTCCTCTCGCCCTCCATTCTCAAGACTTTTTTCAACTGTTCTATCTTCTCAAGTGATCATGGCAGACAGATCTTCATGTCACCATATCCCCTAGTAGATTTGATCAATGTCTCTAAGTCTATTTCAGGAAGAAGCAAGGAGGACAGGAATATTGACAGATGTCTCCAGTTGCACCAAATGAAACCTCACGAGACATTCCAGACATGGCTCAGCTGATTCAACAAAACATTGCAGCCATACTCGCATGCGAATTAAATTAGTTGACATCCTGAAGCCATGAAGCCATTTTCATAACTGGGAAACTATTTCCCTGGAGGCTGGGTTGAAACTGTAGTAGTTCAACAGTATTACACTTTCTTCTTTGCTTGTTTTTAGGGAGCAAAAGAAGAGGAACAGATCCAAACAGCAAAAAATTAATGAACCCTGAATGTTTGTCCCATAGGAAAAAGAAATAAAAACTTATGGGAATAACTGAGGCATGCATAATCTGTGCCTCTTTGTGTCAGCATCAGGGTGACTCAAAAACTTGTGTGGCCCTTAGATACTCCAAAAACTGTCCTCAAATTCACCGAATATTTATAAATGCATTCAGTATAATTTTAATTAATCACATTTAATTTTTTTTTGTCCTGATTTATCTGAAACATGGTCCCCAATAGGGTAGCCAGAGGCCTATGACCTTCAATCTGAAAAAAATAATAACAGCATATTCCTGGTATAAAGGCTTTGAATTCAAGGAACAAAGGAAGAGTGAGGAGAAAGGGGATATTCCAATCTTCCCCAATCATGGTACAATCCAGGTATTGGTGATCTCCAATTCCTAGAATTCCCAATCTGCACAGCCATTTTTCATTTTCAGTTTCACCTTCTCATACATTTATTTCTGGGCAGAACATAATTATATCAGGCTTTAACTTTCATTTGCATTTTCACCAGTGGTGGGTTACTCCCGGTTCAGTCTGGTTCTTGCGAACCGGTAGTAATGGCGGTGGGAGGCTCCACCCATTCATCCGGACATCATCATGGACAATCTGCACATGCGCAGAAGCACATGCGCACACAAGTGAAGCGAGCCCAGACGCGCACGCTCCCCTTGCGAACCGGTAGCGGAGGTAAGGAGAACCCACTCCTGATTTTTATTATATTTTATAGCTTCAGCTGACAGTTATACTTGCTGCTATTGGGCTCTACTGAAATAATTTTGCAGCTATATACTGAAACCATGCATGCAGAAAATGCTTAATCTTCTTCTTTAATATCATAAATAAATTGTATCTGATGGGTTTTAGTTTTGTACTAAACACATCTATTGCTTCTAATAAACATATTTCATGTGTAAAGCAAAATTTATTTCAAGTCCTGAAACAAAGCAACTTAAGTTCAAGAAGGAATTAAGCAGTTAACTGCTGTACATTATAGACTACTATAGATGCGAGCTCAGCAACAGTGTGTGTGTGATGACCCAGGGCACGGCAGAGAGATAACACAAACAGCTGGGAGTTCAAACTGCCCCTCTATTGCTCGAAATCTCCCCAAACGCTCCCATGTTTCTGGCCTGTCCCAGAGCAGAGTGATAACAAACCCCCATACAAACCTCAAGCTGCCTCTGGCTGCAATTAGTCCAGCCCAGCGCTGTCTGCACCAAGGCTGCACGGCAATAAATCCAAATGTATTTGGCAAATCAAGGAGTTCAGGGAACAAAAGATCCAGGTAATTAGTCCAGAATGCTGAAAGGAATGCAAGGACTCTTGGCAAGTTCAAATGTCAGCATGCAACACTTCAAGAACTCAGTGTTCGTTTCCGCTGCCCATAGTGTCTCCTTAAGTCTCATTCCCCAGGTGTGCCTGGTGAAGATGGGCGGGGCACTTTCCTCACAAGTAGCCTACTCACTCTGCATTGATCATGCCTTCTCTGCACTCTCTGAGCCCTTGGATCAGGAGGGGATGGTCCTTGCTCCTCATCTGAGCTCCGTCTCTCATGTTCATCCTGCCTCTGTTCTTCCCAGCCTGCAGGCCTTATTAATTCCAAAAATCCTTGCCTGCACTGACTCTGCCCTTCCCCAGCTTCCTCCAAGGCCAACGGAGCTGCCCTCTCAATCGCTGTCAGTTCTTGTTCCAGCTCATCTTCCACTGCAGATTCAGACTCCAACGGGGGGCATGACAGTGTGCTAGGAGACAAAGGGTCCCCTGTACTGCTAGTAATTTATGTCGCTAAGTGCTGAAGTTGTACGGTGAGATATTGCATGACTGCAGTGACTGCAATCCTAATTGTCCCAATTGTTAACCGAGAAGTGCAGGTTGCTAAGTGAGCACTGGCCTTAGTCTCTCCCAGCTTGAGCCTCAGTAAGATTAGGGGCTGCCTCCAACTCCTCCCCCCCTCACCTATCTCCCCTCTGCCTCAGCCCAGAACCATGCAGCTCTGGGGGTGTCTTGCCATGCCCTGGGAAGCTGCAGCCACCCCAGTTTCATCCATGGTCACCCTCATCACCCTGCACTCTGCCCCCCCAGTTGACCTTTGCTGTCTCCTGGCTCCCTGCTGTCTTCTTGAGGCATGTCTAATTCACAAGTACATGTTATTAGTAGCTACTATTTGGGATATCAATGGGGGAGAGATTTAAAAAAAATCAAAATGGTGGCCACAATCAAAGCCCCGTTGGTTTTTTACATGTTCAAACATGTCTAAAAGGAGTGAAGCTTTGATTGCATGGTTCTACCCATCTTGACCTTTTGACCTCCCCAACTAATAGTCCAGTTACTGCAGCAAAACCTGATGGCATGGCTTGTTCATCACATCTACAGAGTCCTCTCACATTAACTCAGATACATTGCTTTATTGGTGTCAAGACCAAGGAATCTATCATCAAATATAGGTTAACCAGGTTTTGCTTTTGCATGTATGAACAAGCTCATATTATAGCATAACAAATTTAACATATTTTCTGTGATAGCATCTTCAGAAGCTCCAGCACAGAGCCATAGGACATGTGCAACAACAATCCCTCTAATAGTTACCCAGGACTTTTCAATCTCACTCGTATATTATTTCTTTCTTGCAGTGTAAAATCTGAGTGACATGAACTTAAAATGATCCAGTGCACATTTCCCCACTAAGCAAAAGACATAATTGATTCTTACTTCTTAGCTCCACTCCCATCCCCAGAGCAGTGTAGACTCTTCTGATCGAGGGCTGGATGTTGACACTCCACACACACTGTGTGTCCTTCACTGAGATACTTCATCCAATGAGTGTAGGAACTGTTCCCATGAAGGCAGCCTTTTGTGATGTCCATGAGCTGGAACTCAACACAATACCTGTTGTGGAAGAGATCAAAGAAGTGGCAATTTGGAAGCCAGAATGCTCCTTCGTTTTACCCAGCTAACCTTGTCCGGGCTCTGAAGTTAAGCAAGATTAGGTTATTAACCCTTGGAGGAGATAAAACCAGGGAATTGTAGGATTGAAGAGTAGACTAGGAACTGGGGAAAAAAATATCCCAAAAGAAGTTATCGGCAGAACAGATTTGTAGAAAACTGCATGGACATGTTCATATGGTTACTGGGAAACCAGGACATATTTAGCTTTGTGCTATTCCAGTTACTGATGGACATGACAGGAGAAACTCCCTGTCCTAGTAGTAGCTGGTTGCCTTTATGAGAAAAAAAATGAAAGACTGAAAAATTTTGAATTTGATCCCCAAGATTCTTGTTCTTTTCTTCAGTAAGTCTCATTGTATTCAATGGAAATTCAGTACAAGAAAAGTGTGTAATGGACTGCAATCTTAGACCTATAATAATTCACATAAACAGCAAAACTGCTTCTGCTTTAGGCTGCAGGTGTAGTCATATTTTTATTTGTAGTCATATTTGAAGAAAAACTTACATACTTTGCCCAACATTTTTTCTTCTGTGTGTACATGTCATGTAATCCTTCTGATTCACCTTTAAACTGGAAAACACAATCTAAAGACCACTTTACTTCCAGCTCTGCTTCCTGTATCAATGTCATGTATTAGATGACAAAGTGATTCTTACTGGTGGATCCTATATTAAAAGTCTTCTTTCCAATTACCAGGGATCTAAAACCATTTTCAGTAACATACCTATATAGTAAACAGGATTAGGTTAATTTTAATTTTAATTTTTTTTTCATTACAACCCAATAATTACTTTTTTTTCAGGGTGGAGTCAGGGCAACTGAATGGAGCTGAGTGTTTACTGGCCAGATGCCCTTCCTGATGCCTCTAGGCCATTGCACTGTTCTTTAATTTAAATTTTAATAATGTAATGCCATACTGGCCATTAAGCAGGTTACATGTGAACATGCACAATTTTATGACTTTTTTGTGGTGGTGGTTACGTGAACCACCAGGGTTGCTAAGTGAACACAGTGGTCATTAATCAAATCCATTGTCCTCCACGGTTTCTGGTTTTCTCCAGAAACAAAAAGTAAATTCTGGTTTCTGGCAAAAAGATCATAAATCATGATCACAATTGCAGGATGCTGCAAACAGCCATAAATGAGGGCCAGTAGGCTCCCAAATTGTGATCGTGTGACCACGAGGAAGCTGTCAGAACTTCGAATTTAGGTCGTAAGTAGCCCTGGGAAGATCCGTTGTAACTCTGAATGGTCACTAAGCAACTGGTTGTAAATCGAGGACTACCTGTCAGATCTGGAAGCCATCTTTTACATTTGGGCCTTCATGCCTGCCACATTTACATTTTCTACTGTGGGAAAATGGGAGGGGGGATTGCATAGAATATGGGTGATATGTTGTCAAAATAACATTCCTTTCTCAGAGAGTCAAGGACACCTTGCCCTGGCACCTGGAGTTGGATGACTGGGATGTATTTCTAGTTTGGACGGTGGATGATTGGACCATGTGATGGACATGTGGGTGCTGGACAGCGACTTGAACTTTCACTTGGGTGGGGAAAACCTGGAAACTTTCAGATTCGGGTTTTCCAGATGTGCCAATATGACATCTCTAATAAAATGGAACTTTGAGGAAACTCAAGCCTCAGAATCTTCTTTTGTTGTGGGTGTTACTTGAAACCCTGACACTATCTGGAGTAGAAGTGAGGGGACTGAGAAGGCAAGATCTGCTGGGGGAGGAATTAGGGTTAGGGACATGCACTTAAGACTATAAAAGTCTCTCTCAGTATTGAGATTGTTAATTACAGTACTATTATTCACAATGTAGTTCAGTGCGACTAAAGGAGGCAAAACAATAGATTTTTTAATGCCGAAATACAGAACTTACCCAACTCTTTCTCTCCCGCTGAGCACAGCACGTTTTCTCCTTGCCTTTCCGTAGCCTCCGGTGGTTATTAATGCTGGGACTGATTATATGAAGGGGGAGGGGGGGAGAAACCACAACAACCACAGTCAGTGAAAACTGCACCCTCAAACTCATTTATATCAGCAGAATAATGAAAGACTGGGAGGCTCATGGAGCTTAATGCCTTGTTGTTGTTTGCAAGTGGGAAACCAAAGACACATTTTCTCCCACAATTCCAGATCACAAATAATTATTCATCCACTGCAGAATTGGGAAATCTTCATCCCGTTTCTTTCTTGTTGGAACAGGCCTGCTTATTATCATTTTAGAAGGAAGGAAGCTATTTTAATAATCCACCATAGTTCGGTAGAAAGAAATACAACACATTTGAATTGATCACCATAAATTTTATTTGGGTCTAAACCGTGTTTTGGTTTTTAAGGAAGATATTTTACCTTTTTAACACTGACTAGGGAAAAAAAACAATTTTAATTGTTTCTCATATTGGACCAGCTGAGGAACAGCACTGCTTTCACTTGCACCAAATTCTTCAATAGGAAACCCATTTGTTCTTCTTCCTGAGTTAGAGTGTCAGGTCATGGATTCTGCTGATATAGCGGTATAACTGCCTATCCATTTTCTGACTGTTTTCCTAAGGGATCTCCGTATTCACTGATACTCTAGAAGCCAATTCAAGGTTTCATAGCTGCCTTGATACAAGTATTTCCATATGTCTGAGATGAGGAACCTGTGCTCCTCTCCAGTTGTTGCAGAACTATAATTCCCAACAGCCTTGAGCCGCAAAGACAAAGTTGTGGTGCATGTAACCATCAATATCTGAAGAGGCATTCTGTCCTGAGCATATCCCATTGGCCCAACATATAGCATAGCATAGCATAGCATAGCATAGCATAGCATAGCATAGCATAGCACAGCACAGCACAGCACAGCACAGCACAGCATAGCATAACAGAGTTGGAAGGGACCTTGGAAGTCTTCTAGTCCAACCCCCTGCTTAGGCAGGAAACCCTACACCATTTCAGACAAATAGTTATCCAACATCTTCTTAAAAACTTCCAGTGTTGGAGCATTAACAACTTCTGGAGGCAAGTTGTTCTACTGATTAATTGTTCCAACTGTCAGGAAATTTCTCCTTAGTTCTAAGTTGCTTCTCTCCTTGATTAGTTTCCACCTATTGCTTCTTGTCCTGCCCTCAGGTGCTTTGGAGAATAATTTGACTCCTTCTTTGTGGCAACCCCTGAGATATTGGAACACTCTTATCATGTCTCCCCTAGTCCTTCTTTTCATTAAATTAGACATACCAAGTTCCTGCAACCCTTCTTCATATGTTTTAGCCTCCAGTCCCCTAATCATCTTTGTTGCTCTTCTCTGCATTCTTTCTAGAGTCTTCACATCTTTTTTTACATCATGGCGACCAAAACTGAATGCAGTATTCAAAGTGTGGCCTTACCAAGGCATTATAAAGTGGTATTAACACTTCACGTGATCTTTATTCCATTCCTCTGTCTATGCAGCCTAGAACTGTGTTGGCTTTTTTGCAGCTGCTGCACACTGCTGGCTCATATTTAAATGGTTGTCCACTAGGACCCCTCTCACAGTTACTACTATTGAGCGAGGTACCACATATACTGTACCTGTGCATTTTGTTTAGCTTGCATATCTTGCATAAAATACTACTGGTGTTGTAAAGCTTCAAAACCAAATATGGATCTATATCCTTATTATCATAAATCAGACAGGCAGTAACCTTTTCCCTCCGCAAGAATTGTGGATCTGTTAAACTGGTTTATCCCTTAAGAGTTTTATGAATCCCAACAGACTCCACAAAAATTGAGAACTCTAAAGTCCAGCCTGGTTCCTTGGTTCATCAAAGAACTGGAAGTGATAAGATAAATAGGATGAAGTGCAAATGCAGATGGAAATGATACTTCATCGTGATTACAACCCAATCGGCATAAGGGTACAATACCATTCCTACTTTGGCTAATTAATTCATGTCAATATAACAGCCATAGCTTTCTCAGCATATCTTCTAAAATGCTAGAACAGATCATAAAAATATGTATGAGTTGGAATGTTTCATTAATCATCTAGTCCAACCTCCCTCTTCACACCAGAATACAATGAATCATCTTCAGCAGGTAATCATTTAACGTCTTGAAAACTTCCAATGGGGAGAAACCAGGGCTGGTCTAGATAAATCATTCCACTGCTTAACAGCTCTTACCATTAATAAATAATTTCTGATAGTCTGCCAGTATCTCCTTTCTTTTAATTCTTTTTCTTTGTCCTTGTCCTATTCTTGGTTTCTGCAGAGGTCTGCTTACTGTTGTGTGAATGACCTTTTAAGATACTTAGTGCAGAGCAACAACTTCACTAATTCCCAGCAACTCTTGATTGGATTCTTCCTGATTTGTTCCTAAACTTGGTAGGAAAGGTCCCATCTACCTGGAGATGCTTTCTACCTGGTCATAGAGGCCTTTCCCAATAATTATGATATGTAGTCCAGATGTGGCATGCTGATTCTTGCAGGGTTAATCCAGTGGTGGGTTTCAAAATTTTTGACTACCGATTCTGTGGGTGTGGCTTGATGGGAGTGGTGTGGCATGGTGGGCGTGGCTTGGTGGGCATGGCAGGGGAAGGATAATGTAAAATCTCCATTCCCTCCACAATCCAGGGGAAGGTTACTGCAAAATCCCCATTTCCTCCTGATCAGCTGGGACTCGGAAGGCAGAGAATAGATGGGGATCTATTCTCGGGCCAGCCAGAGGTGGTATTTACCGGTTCTCTAAACTACACAAAATTTCCGCTACCGGTTCTCCAGAACTGGTCAGAACCTGCTGAAACCCACCTCTGGGCTAATCCCAAAGGCAGTTGCCCTTTGCTGGAAACTAAAGGCTACAGTGAGAGCAAAATTATATTTAATATTGCTTATTTTATGCACTTGGGAAAGTCTTGCAATAGCATCATGGAAAGTAAGTCCCAATTAAAGTAATTATAGAGTGAGGAATTACAGCACTGACTGAGTCCATGTCACGTAAGAACCCAAACCTGCCTATCCCCCCTTTCCTTATTCCTTCACAGAAATGGCCCATGTAAGATCCAGCTGTTATTTGAAACAGTCTCTGTGCTTAGCGGAATCAGAGCCATCTCTCAAACTGACATTTAGTATTATGCAATATAAAAATAACAGCCATAATAAATATTCCAAAACAATTTGCACTGTGGTTAAAAGTACTTAAAGGAGGATTTGAACTGCCTTTCCCCACTTACGAATGGAGTCCTTGCACAATGTTCCTTGCTGAGTCCAATACTCCAAACAGCCAGCCTTCTCTTCCAGAGCAGGGCAGGCTTCTCCACCGTTTCTGGGCTCCCGGATCACAGATCTCCTTCGGCGGCGATAGGTCGCCTTGCAGTGTTCAGCACACCCACTCCATTCACTCCAGTCAGAGACCAGGCAGGAGGCCTCTGCAGAAAGTATAAGAAGTTACTTCTAAAAGCTGAGTGTTCTGACCCAGCTCCCCAAACACGACAAACCCTCTGACGTGAACTCAAAAGATTCCTTTATTAGGAATGCCGGCAGCCCCGGCAAAAAGTTTCTCTCGCAGGCTAACAAGTCCACCGGAAGATGAATAGCTGTCTGCCACACCTATTCATCTCCCCCCCCTGCCTTTTATCCCCAGAGCTATGGTGGGGCATCGCTACAGTGGTGGGTTGCTACTGGTTCGCATCCGGATTGGGTGAACCGGTAGTGGCGGCAGCAGGAGGCTCCGCCCACCCGCTTCTGCACATGTGCAGAAGCGCCATGTGTGCACGAGATTTGGAACCTGCCCCTACATCACTAGCAACAGTGGCTCTTCCTTCCCCAGGATCGGCCCATGGCTCTCCACTGCTCTCCTCTCCTCTGCCTTCTGCGCAGCCGCACGTCAGGCCCTGGACCCAGCTGTTCCTCCTCTTCTTCATCAATCACCTTCAGACCTGGGGACTGTTGATTCTCCATCTGAGGGCTGACGGATGGCTCAGGCTCCGCCTCTCTCTCTCTCTCTCTCTGCCAGCTCCATTCCCACTTCCCCTCGGAGGTCCTCCTCTGATTCTGGAGTGGCCAGAGGCCAACAGGCCACAACACTGAGATCCATTCTATGCTGTATCAGGTCAACATCCCAGAAAGAGAATCTCAAATCATTCCTGCTAAGCAAGCATCTGAGCATGTTGTGGTTTATAGGTTGTCCTGAAGTTATAACCATTTAGCGATGGTTCAAAGTTGCAATGGCACTGAAAAAGATGATTTACAATCAGTCCTTGCACTTATGACCATCGCAGCATCCCCACAGTCACATGATCAAAATCTGGACGCTTGGCCAAACTGGCATATATTTATAATGGTTGCAGTGACATCTGATTGCCATTTGCAACTTTCCAGCCAGCTTCTGACAAGCAAAGTTAATGTGGGAAGCCAGATTTGCTTAACAAATGCCTGATTCCCTTAATAACTGCAGTTTGTTTAACCACAATGACAAAAAAGGTCATAAAACTGGGTGCAACTCATTTAACAACTGCCCTACTTTGCCACAGTGATTCTGGTCACAACTATGGCCATAGATCAAGGACTATCTGTTATATAGATAGTATTTTAGAAGCAAGTCTTGAGGCTGATAGACTGAACAAAAATCAAAACCTCCACAAGTTAAAAAGACTTTCTAAATGTCTCTGTTCTGATTTTCTAATTAAAGGGTAGGTTGTTTCATTTATAGGGGGAATATTCATAAATGTGATTTCCCAGCTACAAGATGAAGCACCACAGTCCATGTTCACCTACAACTTTATGACATTTATATCCTATCTTTTCTGAGTTCAAAGCAGTGCACTTCCTCCAATTTATCCCCGCAACATTCATGTGAATCGGTGAAGCTGAAACATAATAATGGGGCCAATGCTATCTAGCCAGCTGCAAGATTTTTTTATTCTGCATTTTCAAATTCAAAAATTGATTCGCTTCTCAAAACCCTCCAAGACACAAAGTGGTTTTACTTTAGTGCATGGCATAAATCCAGTCACTGAAATTCGTAAACCAGGGTTTGTTTGGTTTTAAAAAAAAATTATCCCACCTTTCATGCAGGAGCTCAAGGCTTCACACACAGCCCTTCCTCCTATCTTCCCCACAAGGGCAACTATGTGAGGCTGACAGAGTTGTTGTCGTTCTTAGTGCGTATCTCCCTTAGCGGCAGGGTCAGCCTGTTTTGTGCTCACCTAATTCAGCAAAGCGTATCAGTACATGATCCCCAAAGGGTTTTGTTTTTCAGCTTGTTTCAGAGCCCGATACTGATTACAGCAGAAAGGGGGTAACTGGACCAGAGTCATCAGCTGGCTTCTGTGGTTAGGAATTAAACTAGAACTTCAATCCAGTGGTGAAATGTAAAATTTGTTACTACCGGTTCTGTGCGTGTGGCTTGGTGGGTGGGGGGGTAATGTGACTGAGTGGATATGGCCAACTTTTTTTTTTTTAACTTTTAAAAGCATTTTTTCTACAACTTCTTCGGCCGAAGAGGTTGTAAAATAAATGCTTTCCAAAGGCTCTGATGATCCCAGGTGAATTGCCTGATCGTCAGAGGCTTTTGTTTTCTTTTATTTAAAAGCATTTTTTCTACAACCTCTTCGGCCGAAAAAATGCTTTTAAAAGTAAAAAAAAAAAAGCCTCTGACGATCAGGCAACTCAACTGGGATCGTCAGAGCCTTTTAAAGGCATTTTTTCTACAACCTCTTCAGCCAAAGAGGTTGTAGAAAAATGCTTTTAAAAGGCTCTGACGATCCCAGCTGAGCTGCGCGATCATCAGAGGCTTTTTTTTTTTTTACTTTTAAAAGCATTTTTTCGGCCGAAGAGGTTGTAGAAAAAATGCTTTTAAAAATTTTTTAAAAAAATCCTCTGATGATTGCGCAGCTCAGCTGGGCAATGGGGGGGGCAGGGATTTTTGCTACTGGTTCTCCGAACCACCCGTCGTCATCGCTACCGGATCAGGCAATCCGGTCCGAACCGGGAGCATTTCACCCCTGCTTCAATCTCCTTGTTCCTTCCCTGACATCTTATACTCCATTTCACTGGCTCTGATAACCCAGCCAACTGTGGCTGTCAATAAAACTTGCAGTACAATAAACCATGGCTCTCCTTGCATGTACTGTATACAGTTTCACTGTTTTTTTATAAAGGAATAATCTTTTGAGCTTTCCTGCTGAACCCAAAGTAAAGCACTTGGCAGTGCTAGCTGAGAAGTCTATAAACTGCAGATGTAAGTAGAGACAATTGGGAAAACTGGGCTAAATCACTTTGATCTTTAGCAAAGCAAGATGACACGGGATTTAAGTGAGTTTGCTTAGAGAATTTCAGAGAGAGAGAGAGAGAAATCAAATATAAAGATCATAGACTACTCTGCAAACAAGCATTCCACTGACCTTTACGAGAAACATTGAGGTGACTGATCTTATTTTACTACTCCAAAGATTGGGCTATACCAATAGAACACCAGAAGATGGCAGTATTAGAGGATACAATACAGTACTTAAATCAACCCTTGATTGGTTATCAAAAAAATAGAGTTCAATGATTGTAATAAAAACTAAACCAGTGTGGGGAGGAAGAACCATGGAAATTAATTCATTTATAAGTCTGTTGGTACATAAATCATTTTTATCATAAGTTTCATAAACTTGCAAGGAATGAAGGAGAGTACAGTTATAGTAGGAGAATTACACAGCAGGATTCTGCATTAAGCATAGCCTGAGGCTTCTTTGATTTTATATCTTACACCAAGATTCCAGTCCTCATGGCCTTCCCAACTGTAGTACTATCCACATAGATCAGGCCTGTGATTTTCAGGATTCCCAGTATATCTCCAAGGCACCAATTGGAAAGCGCTCCTAAAGAGCAGCTTCAATAATGATTTTCAGGCTAAGCATTTCCCTCTGGGCTGGGGATAATGGAACTTGGAAAACTTTTCTGGTAGTCACCAGAAAATGAAACAAATGCTTTGAAGCTAGAAACATTAATGTCAATGGAAAAAAAACAAAACAAAATACAGGTAGTCTTTGATTTATGAACACAATGAAGCACAGAATTTATGTTGCTAAGTGAGAAATGTGTTAAGTGAGTTTTGCCCCATTTTACGACTTTTTTACCACATTGGTTAAATGAATCATTGCAGTTATTAAATTAGTAACATGGTTGTTAAGTGAATCTGGTTTCCCCATAGACTTTGCTTGTCAGAAGGTCATAAAAGGGGATCACATGACAACCGTCATAAATGTGAGTCACTTGTCAAGCATCTCAATGTAAATCACGTGACCATGGGGATGCTGCATCGGTCATAAGTGTGAAAAATGGTCCTGTCACTTTTTTCAGTGCTGTTGTAACTTTGAATGGTCACTAAACAAACTGTTGTAAGTCAAGGACAACCTATCCTGTATAGAGTACAGACAGGCAAAAGAAATATACAGGTAGTCCTTGACTTATGACCACAATTGAGCCCAAAATTTCCACTCCTAAGCAGGACAGTTGTTAAGTGAGACTTGTCCCATTTTATGACCTTTCTTGCCACAGTTGCTGCCAAGCCAAGATTGCTCTAAAGCTAAATGCATTCTAATGTGGCCATCACATGCGAAGACCTGTGGGATAAAATTCCAGTAAAAGCGTGAATGTCTATATCCGTGATGGTGAACCTATGGCACGCGTGCCACAGGTGGCATGTGGCGCCACATCGATGGGCACACGAGCGTTGCCCTAGCTCAGCTCCAGCATGCATGCGTGCGCCGGCCAGCTGATTTTTGAGCCTTCCGGGCCCACCAGAAGTTGAGAAACAGGCTGTTTCCGGCCTCCAGAGGGTCTCCGTGGGCGTGGGGAAGGCCGTTTTCGCCCTCCCCAGGCTCCTAGAAAGCCTCTGGACCCTGGGGAGAGCGAAAAATGGTCCTTCCGGAAGTTGGGAAACGGGCTGTTTCCAGCCTCCGGAGGGCCTTTAGGTGGGTGGGGAAGGCCGTTTTCGCCCTCCCCAGGCTCCAAGAAAGCCTCTGGGGCCTGGGGAGAGTGAAAAACAGGCCTACCTTGCCTACCGTGCCATTGCGTGCCAAAAATGGGGGGAACGTTGGGGGGATGCTGCGCATGCATGCATGGGGGGGACGGGGCACATTGAATTATGGGTGTGGGCACACATGCGCATGACCCCCCCACGCTCCCCACACTTTTGGCACGCGACGGCAAAAAGGTTAGCCATCACTGGTCTATATAGTGCCTTCCAGTAAATGTTAGCTCCTGGCAACTGCTTAGATTAGCTTTTTGGCGATGTACAGGTAATCCTCAACTTACAACTATTTGTTTAGTGACTGTTCAAAGTTACAATGCGACTGAAAAAACTGGCACTTATGACCATTGTAGCATCTCCATGGGCCATGGTGAGTATGAAACACTCCTGGAAGACACAATCTCTCATTTCTAGCCAAGGGACCAATGGCACAGCATGACAAAATAAGCAATATCTCCATAAGAATAACCTGTGGCCTACTCCAGTCAGCCCCAATTTTCTCTCAGCTGCTCCATTTGTATGGAGACTGAGGATCTAACATTGCAAAAAAACCAAAACCCCCAAAAGTACACTTTCCTAGGGCATTCATCCCTGATCTTATCCTTTCAGATATTAGAAATATCTGGATTTCCTGGATTTCCTCGCTGCTCGGGGATTCTGGGAGTTGACGGATTCAACAGGGCTAGGCAAACTTAGAAATTTTCTGACAGTGAGAGCAATCAACCAATGGAACAGAAGTTGCCTTCAGAAGTTGCCCTTCACTGGGCACAGTGGTTAGAGTGCAGTACTGCAGCTACTTCAGCTGACTGCTAGTTCAGCAGATCAGCAGGTCAAATCTCACCGACTCAAGGTTGATTCAGCCTTCCATCCTTCCAAGGTGGGTAAAATGAGGACCCAGATTGTTGGGGGCAATATGCTATTTAGTATACTGTCTTTGGTGTAAGCCGCCCAGAATCCTTGGAGAGTGGGTGGCATAGAAATACGAAAAAATAAAATAAAATAAAATAAAATAAAATAAAATAAAATAAAATAAAATAAAATAAAATAAAATAAAATAAAATAATAAAATAAAATAAAATAAAATAAAATAAAATAAAATAAAATAAATAAAATAAATAAATAAATAAATATATATAAATTTTGAGGAAGCTTCATCACTGGAAGCTTTCAAGAAGAGCCAGGACTGCCATCTGTCAGAAATGATGTAATAGCAATAGCAATAGCACTTAGACTTATATACCGCTTCATAGTGCTTTTTACAGCCCTCTCTAAGCGGTATACAGAATCAGCATATTGCCCCCCCCCCCAACAATCTGGGTCCTCATTTTACCCAACTCGGAAGGATGGAAGGCTGAGTCAACCTTAAGCCTGATGAGATTTGAACTGCCGAACTGTCTCTGGACAGTGGTTGAGTGATCTCGAGATAGGGGACATAGTTATCGAGCCCTTGTCATGGTCGGATCACTCTCTCCTTCGCCTTGATCTTCGAACCGCTGCTCCCCGCCGCAGGGAGGCGGAACCGATAAGATGGTACCGCCCCAGGCGCCTGATGGAACCTGATAGGTTCCAGACGGAGCTTGGGCCAATGCCTGAGGTCTTGGCTCAGGCCTCGACTGGAGACTTAGTGGCCGCCTGGGATAGGGCGGCCGCTGGAGCTCTGGATCGAGTCGTGCCTTTGCGGCCTCTGACCCGGCGCCGATCTCACCTGGCTCCTTGGTTTACTGAGGAGCTGAGGGAGATGAAGCGCCGGAAAAGACGCCTAGAGAGTAGTTGGAGGGCCAGTCGCACTGAATCTGACCGGACACTGGTAAGATCTCATATTAAGAATTACCTAGTGGCGATAAAAGCAGCGAAATGTACTCATCTTGCTGCTCTTATCGCGTCATCAGATAACCGCCCGGCCGCCCTGTTTAGGGTGACCCGCTCCCTGCTCCACCAGGAAGCGAGGGAGGACCCCTTGGAGGGGAGAGCCGAGGATTTTGTTCAGTATCTGTATGACAAAATCACTCAGATTCGGGAAGATCTGGACTCTGACTGGGTAGATCCAGTGGGGATGACGGAGGCAGGTCCTGAGAATGTTATCTGGGATGAGTTTGACTCTGTGACCCCTGAGGACGTGGACAGGATTCTGGGTAGACTGAATGCGACCACATGTTTGTTGGACCCGTGCCCCTCCTGGTTAGTGCTGGCTTCCCGGGAGGTGACGCGAGGCTGGCTCCAGGGGATTATAAATGCTTCCATTGAGTGAGGGTGTCTTTCCCGCCGCCTTGAAAGAGGCGGTGGTGAGACCTCTCCTCAAGAAGCCTTCCCTGGACCCGCAATATTGGCAAATTATCGTCCAGTCTCCAACCTTCGCTTTGTTGCGAAGGTTGTTGAGAGTGTGGTGGCACGACAGTTTCCCCGGTACTTGGATGAAACGACGTATCTAGATCCGTTCCAGTCGGGCTTCAGGCCTGGGTACAGCACGGAAACGGCATTGGTCGCGTTGGTGGATGATCTCTGGAGGGCTCGGGACAGAGGTTGTTCCTCTATCCTGGTCCTATTAGATCTCTCAGCGGCTTTTGATACCATCGACCATGGTATCATGCTGCACCGGTTGGGGGGGTTGGGGGTGGGAGGCACCGTACTATGGTGGTTCTCCTCCTTTCTCTCCGACCGGTCGCAGTCTGTGTTGACAGGGGGGCAGAGGTCGACCCCGAGGCCCCTTATATGTGGGGTGCCACAAGGATCGGTCCTCTCGCCCCTTTTGTTCAACATTTATGTGAAGCCGTTGGGCGAGATCATCCGTGGTTTCGGGGTGGAGTACCATCAGTACGCTGACGACACCCAGCTGTACATCTCCACCCCGGACCACCCCAACGATGCCCTTGAAGTGATGTCCCGGTGCCTGGAGGCCGTACGGATCTGGATGGGGAGAAACAGGCTCAGACTCAACCCATCCAAGACCGAGTGGCTGTGGTTTCCGACATCCCGATATAGTCAGCTGGTGCCATCGCTGACTATTGGGGGCGAAGTATTGGCCCCCACGGAGAGGGCTCGCAACTTGGGTGTCCTCCTGGATTCACGGCTGTCTTTAGAAGAGCACTTGACGGCCGTGACCGGGAGGATTTTTCATCAGGTTCGCCTGATTCGCCAGTTGCGTCCCTTTCTGGATCGGGACTCGTTACGCACGGTCACTCATGCCCTCGTCACCTCCCGTCTGGACTATTGTAACACTCTCTACATGGGGCTCCCCTTGAGGAGCACTCGGAGGCTCCAACTGGCGCAGAGTGCGGCCGCGCGGGTGGTGATGGGAGCGACGTGGCGCTCCCATGTAACGCCTCTCCTGCGCGAGCTGCACTGGCTCCCGGTGGTCTTCCGAGTGCGCTTCAAGGTTTTGGTCATCACCTTTAGAGCGCTCCATGGCTCAGGACCTGGTTATCTACGGGACCGCCTGCTACCACCAATAGCCTCCCACCGACCAGTACGCTCCCATAGAGAGGGGCTCCTCCGGGTGCCGTCGGCCAAACAATGTCGACTGGCGGCCCCCAGGGGGAGAGCCTTCTCTGTGGGGGCACCTACTATCTGGAACGAGCTCCCCCCCGAGATACGGAGGATTCCGGATCTGCGTACCTTCCGTCGCACGCTGAAGACGTTCCTATTCCAGCAAGCCGGCCTGACCTAAACTTCTCCTCTTTTAAATGGGAATTTTAAATTTGGTTTTAAATTATTGGGGTTTTAAATATGGTTCAGCCAAATTTATCTAACTTGTTTTATTTCTATTTTAAATTTTGTATTGATATGTTTTATTTCATGGCTGTTCACCGCCCTGAGTCCTTCGGGAGTAGGGCGGTATACAAATCTAATAAACTAAACTAAACTAAACTAAACTGCAGCTACCAGTCAGCTGAAGTAGCCTGCAGTGCTGCACTCTAACCACGGCGCCTCCTCGGCAGGTAAAGTCTGCTGAGGGGGTGGGGCGGGTTGGACTAGATGACCTACAAGGTCCCTTCCAACCCTCTCATCATCTGTGTCTGTCTCTAACTCGCAGAGTCGCCAGGCCGCTCGCCCCACAAGGCGCAGCAGCGGAGCCTCCAAGGCGCGGCAGCTGCTACCGTAGCGCGGCCGAGAGAAGCGCTCCGAAGTAAAGAGCGTGGGAGAAACAGGCGGGAACCCGCCCTTCGCCCTCTCAGGCCCGTTTATCCACCCAAACATCCACCCCAGGCCTCGCGGAGACGCACCTGGGCAAAAGCGCCGGTAGTCGCTGCAGCAATCCAAGGTGGAAAGGCAAGCCTGGTCGCAATAGCAGAGCCCGTAGGATCCGTCGGGTCTCCAACCGGCGCTCGCGCACTCCAGGCTCCTGCCCGAGCAGCAGCGTCCCAGCTCGGCGCAGCCACCCGCCGCTCCCGCCTTGGCCAACAGGGCGGAGAAGAAGAGCAGCGCGCCCGCCAGGCTTCGAGAGCCGCGGGTCACCGGCATGGCTGTGGCCCGGCCGGTTGGAAAGGAAAGCAAAACGGGGCGCGGGTTGGCCGTGCAGCGCCTAGCACCACCCTCCTGCGGGCTTAACGCAACCCGCCTTAAGTCTGAGGTGACGTAAGTGAGGGCGCCCCGGCCCCGCCAAAAAAAAAAAGCAGCAGAGCCCCGGGGCGACGTCTTCCCAAGTTTTGCCGCTGCCCACGCGCGGAGGGAACCCGCGAAGGAACGCTAATCCTGTTTTAAGATGGAAGAGGATTTTTTTCCCGCGCGTTTCGGGCAATATGAAAGCAGCCCCCAAAGGAAAAGTTTGGGTGCCACCTCCGAGCCACCCCCGCCAGTTCCCTGCGCAACGTTGGCGGGGCGGCTGCGCCTCAACCTCCTAGTTGAGGATCCGCGCAAGAAAAGGCCAGAAAGTTGATCTTTGGAATTCGAGCTCCTGACTTAGCCTGCGATTACTGCCGACTCGAGCCCTGCCCGAGGTGGCGGGAGGGATCCCCGCCTATATTCTACCTAACCTTTGCCTTTTTCTGTGGATTCAGCTCAGGCGCGCTCAAAGGAACCGAGTCGGTCGCGACGCCTTCCAGTCAACCTGGACTGGGCTGGAGTGGAAGGAAGCCGTTACTCTAAAAGTAAGGCGTGTTTGCCAAGGGAGGCAGCGCACTTTGCCGGGATTTTCTTTTGACTTTGGGACGCTGCCAGGGGATCCACATTAAAGAGCTTTCCTCTAATTCGGGAGGTTGGCAGAGAAGCGAGGTTGGTGTAAAATTGCAAGCGCTGGGTTGCTGAGCATGGGGCGGATGAGTAGTAGTACCCCTCTTAACAGTTTTCCGTATTGGAGAAGTTAAGGAATGCGCGTTTTTGCCGGTTTTGTTTCCCTTCCAACTGGGAGAGGCTCCAACTGCTCTTCTGGGGGCACTGGGTGACTGGGGGCAGGTGTGCTGAAGGATATGGCATATGGGACTGTTACCCTGAGGAGTGCTAACCCTCTGTTTCAAATTAGCCTGCAGGGGCATCCAGGTGTGGGTGTGAAAGCAAGTAAAAAAAGTCAGCCACAATTGATGAAAACTTTTTTATTCCATACAAGGAAAAAAATATAGTTTTCTGAACCTTTGATTATGATTGTTAGCTTGACTGTTTACACACACACACACACACACACACACACACACACACACACACATATACAGGGACAACTCTCACCCTGGTCATCACTTTGTTACCCTCCTACCATCGGGAAGGAGTTATAGAAGTATAGCCAGCGGCACAAACAGGCTGAAGAACAGTTTTTATCCATGGGCTGTCAGACTCCTGAATGAGAAATAACATCATAACTATGTAGTATGATGGACTGCAGGGCCGGCACAATCAGGGGTGAAATCCAGCAGGTTCTGACAGGTTCTGGAGCACCAGTAGCGGAAATTGAGAAGTCCGGAGAACCGGTAGCGGAAAATTAGTTTGGAAAACCGGCAAATATCACCTCTGGCTGGTCTCAGAGTGGGGTGGAAATGAGGATTTTGCAGTATCCTTCCCCAAGCCACGCCCACCAAGCCACACTCACAGAACTGGTAGTAAAAAAAAATGGATTTCACCACTGGGCACAATGTGTAACATGTTCACACTGGTGCAATATTACTGGATGTCTTGTTAATATGATTTATTGGGTTAGGGATGTTCTGTCTTCACTGAAGACAGAACGCAATTGTATTGCGTTGGGGGGGGGTGCACTGAGGGAGCTCAACCAATCTCATTGCACATATGTTGTGCACTGACAATAAAGATTTGAATTGAATTGAATTGAATTGACAGACACTAGCCTGATTGACTGGTTACAGGAGCGGAGGAGGGCACATGGTGAAGGAGGTATTACATGCACCACTCTAGGGTTATCCAGAACTGTCCTTATTGCTGCATTCGGTATCAATTGTAGCTTCTGAATACTCTTCAAGGGCAGCCCCATGTAGAGCGCATTGCAATAATCCAGACAAGAAGTAACCAGGGAACAGGTGATTGAGAGCTCATAAACCCATATGCAGAAGGAGCCTGCATAAGAGGTAACCAACACTTCGCATCAAGTGTGCAGAACTCTGCTTAATCCTGATGCCCAACCTGAAATGGTCAGAGGGGGAAAAGACAGGCCTGATGCAACCTGAAGGGATTAATAGCAACTGGGAAGATGCCATCTCCAGACTACACCACCAACCTCATCATTGACTAAGCCAGTAGATCTTAAAACCATTTGACCCAATTACCCCTTTCCCCAGTCTCAAGGCACAAAAAAAGCCAGACTCTTGTTTTATGCAATTAGCTCAGCAGTGACAGTTCCCAACTGGATCCTTGACTCACAAACGAGCAGTTATTGTACAGATTGCTTCTTTATCCCAGAATATGCCCTGCAAAGTAGCTTCAGATTAACCTTTCAGCGCCTGGTGCCAGAGGCTAAGTGGGAATTGTGAGGTTGAAAAGGATCTGGATGGCACCAGCTTAAGGAAGGCTGCCATAAAAGATATTGTGGTGCATTTTTCTTTAGCATGTGCACATTTGAAGGTCTGTTCATAGGATCTAAAAAGATAAATGTTGAAAACAAAGTCAATGGGGAAGCCGGCAGGGAAGATCGCAAGTTGCTCCAGTAAGTCGCTCTTGCCATTTTCAAGCTCCCATATTCCATAGCAGCTCCCATCTGAACACCCTCCGTACTGCATACCTACACTCCATACTCTCCCACGGCTTCCATCGACACATTCAAAGCCCTCCCACCAACTCATTCCCTTAGTGGCCGCCTGCGGCAGCTCCTCCCCACCCCCAACATCCTCAAATCCCCTGCACTCCTTACTTGGGACTCCCGCCTCTTCCCATTGAAAGACATTGCTGTCGCTCAGCCATGTAGTCACGTCAGATTGTGCTTTACAACCTCTGTCCTTAGCTATAGTAATCCTGATCTCAATTGGCATCATAACTCAAGCACTACCTATAAATGCTTAGGCTGCATTCTGTGATACACTTAAAAGCGAACCTCGCAGAATTCACTGCATCTCAAAACAGATACTGAAAATGAGAAAAAAATTCAGAATGGAACATGGTTCACTGTTCACTTTTTCATTGCTTCATCAATGAATTCATAAAACTTCAAGGGGAGGGGGGAACCTGGCCCAGTGTTTAACTGCAGGTAGTCCTCAACTTAATGACCGTAATTGCAACCAGAATTGCTAAGCAAGGCAGTTGTTATGTAAATCACACCTGATTTTGCAACCTTTTTGTCATACTTGTTAAGTGAATCACTGTGATTGTTAACCAAATCATGTGATTGTTAAATCTGGCCTCCCCCATTGACTTTGCTTGTCAGAAGCCAGCTGGGAAGGTTGCAAATGGCGATTTATTTATTTAGTTATTTATTTATCAAATAAATCACGACCTCAGGAAGCTACAGCCATCATACATATATGTTGGTTGCCAAACGCCTGAATTTTGATTAGGTGATCATGGGGATGCTACGACAGTCGGAATTGCGAGGACGGTCATAAGTCACCTTTTTCAGTGCTGTTGCAATTGTGAAAGGTTGCTAAAATGAATGGGGGTAAGCAGAGTGTATTTCATCAGCAAACAACAGGACCATTATTCCATGGTTCTCTGCACAATAGCCTAGTTTTTCACTGTACCGCGGTGAACGTCTGAAAAAAATGTGCCTGGAGATTGGCAACTGATGAAGAGAAGGGCGGGCCCTTCCTGCCAGAGCAATGCAAGTCAGTTGAGTAGCAGCATTTACTGACATTGAAATGATGTACACAGGCAAACCCGAGAGCACTGTTTGAGCTTGCACAAGTCAAAAAGACTATTCTCAGTGCTTAGCAGAAAAAAGAAGGGACTGGATGCAACTTTACAGTTAGTGGCCCCTTCCTGCACTGGTACAAACTGGTCATGTGGATCAGCTCTAATGAAGTTGAAATTAAACTTAATATTAGAGCAACAGGGTTATTTTATGAGAAAAGTGGATGATATTCCAAAATAATGTTGCTTCTAGTCTGTAGGTGCCACCCTTCTGCTTTGATTGCATCCATTTTCACCTCGCCTTACCCATGCCATGCTCAGAGGACATATCACAAATCATCATGTGATCTTCAGGCCAAGGCAGGTTTGTTCAGTCATGAACTAACTGGCAGGAAATTCACCATGTTAATGACATACTGCCCCAAGACATGTTGATCACTAATAGGTGTTTTTATAGAAATTAATAGGGAAAGTCTACTAATGGTAACAACAACTTTCTCATTGACTTTCCAATGTTATCAAGTTGAGCCCTGAAGGAAGTTAAGAGAAGAAAGATACTTATCCATATTATCCATCAAATAATTTGTTCTTACATACTCTTTTAAAATCATGTAATTAGTACATAGTATAATTTTCTCAGCAAGACTGTACACCACTGTCTTAATTTCTGTATGGAACCTGCTGGCATCTCCTCATGGTTTATGTTACTCATGGTTCAAATGAAGTATATTCAAGTTTTTCTGATAGTCTATACAAGACTTGAAGTTTGAACAACTGATCATTGACTGTAGCAGATATTACAACAGCCAAATATAATTTTAAAACTTATCTGATTAATTAAGTAAATCAGCTACCTCTGTGGTTGATTTGAAGCTTGTATCAGTCCATATTTGAGAAGAGGAAAAAATATTTTAATATATTGAGAATATATTGAGTTTAAAATTCTAGAAATTGTTTTTTCCCCACTGACCCGTACAAATCAAAACCTTTCTTTGAATTTTAATTTTAACCTTTTGTAGACCCTATGACAGTGCTCCAAAAGAATTTTAGTGCTCACTTAATTATTTTCTTATATACAAAGGCAGAGCTGTGCAGCTGTCATTTCATATCAGTCATAAAGACTTTGGTTAAGTTGATGAGTGAAGCAGCTGTCAGGATTCTCCATGTTGCCACTGTGAATATTTTGAACACATCTCATTCAGTGTTATTGGGCTGACTGAAATTTTGAAAGAGTGCTTCAATTATTATTATTAGTATCCACCATTTGATGTAATCCATAATTTATGTCTTGTTAGTATTAATTGTGGGATATTGTGATTATTCTCGGCAACTATTTTATGTTACTCATGTTTTTTAATTATGGGTTGTGTTATATTTTGTTTGATAGTCACCCAGAGACATGTATACGAGATGAATAATCATATACATGTATTAATAAAATTATTCAGTCTAAAAATTGTTTATTGTACTTGTTTATTTTCTATTTTGTTTCAAAGCTTATAGGCTATCTTCAATGGGCAGACAGATGGAATATAATAAAGCAGTAACTGAAACTTGTTGGATAACTCTTGGTCCAAAACATGTTTGAGAATTCAAGAGAATAAAATAATTCTTCAGGCGATTTCACTATTTAGACCTTTTCAAATAGGCGTTTTGACCTAGGCTTCCTGAATCAGTAAAACACACGAGTAGTCCCAAAAACCTCTTTTATTGCAACAGCTGTGAATTCTGTTCATTCACAGATGAGTCCCAAATAGTTGTAAAGAGTCCTTTGGGATAAGGCTGATAATCACTCACCTTTATCTCCCTTGACACGCTGCCAAAGACCTAATTGGCAAAAACCACACGGAGTCCAGAAT